CCCGTTGGAACAAGGTTCCTGCATTCCGGAATTCTGCATTCATGAGCGTTTTCAAGAGCGTAACCATCGCGAATAGAGAGGGTTTACTGTACTTCCCATAGTCTGGCACATTTCACAGCCCAAGGCTACTGCACCCACTATCACCGGGCAGTCTCCGATCCAATTAATAAATATTTGTGGAGGTTGTTTGCGGTTGTGCTGAATGACAATGCAGTACCGGTAACTCTGAATCTGTGAGTTCACAGTACAATCATGAGTTGTTGACAAAGCCGCCCTCCTTTATGCAGGGGCATCTCAGAGCGCTTCCAGCGTAATGGGTGCCTTACAACATCGCATCTCATCTCGACACGTGAGCAAGTGGCACCCCCAGGCGCAGCTGTCCCTGCGTGGCACAATGTCACTCAGCACCTGGCCTGCAAGCCAGCATTATTCTGCCAGTAGGGGGTGGGGGCGATGATTAATACTATAGGTGTAATCCGAATTGAGTAATTTGTGGTGTAACTTTTCGAAGTTTGGCAACTTTAGACCATGATGCGAGCACGCGACGGCCTTACTGGTTTAGAACGATATCAGGGGATCTTTAACGTCCATTGGGAAGCAGGCGGCGCATGTTCCATTGTTAATTCAGCAGCATTAATAACCAGGGAAGCCTGCAAAGTCGAATCCCAGACCTCTGCAACAAGCGGAGAACGTATATATGCGTGTATGTTGAACTTCTTTCGCACTGTACGTAGCCAACCGTGCTAATTGGCAGTTGGAGCTACCACCAGGTCGCATCACCGCTCGTAGAATCCTTATGGGACGGCTCGCCACTCCCCAGCAGTGGGAGATCCCGCAGAGGGAGAGAAAGCGCGAGAGCTGAGTCTTTCAGAGTGAGACTCAGGTCAGTCGTTGTAAGGTCACCTCGGTGGAGAGGCTTCCTGGGTGCACGACAGAGGCCTCCGTGAATTACTGCCGGCACTTTCGTACAATGCGCTCAGTTCATCAAGGTCACGGGTGTGAATCACCCGAGGCAGTGTTTCCAACATCCTAAAGAGCAGGGGGGTTGTGAGGATGGATTGGACGAATCGAGTAATGGAAAATGCCTCAAAGAGGGTGTTATCGGAGCACCAGCACCTGGACAACAAGCTGAGCAGGCCAGTGTAAAGCCTTTGTCTCCTGCTTTGCGAGAAATGTTGAATACTTACAATCCACAGTCCCCGTCAAACCCACCGGGGCTGCAGAGAGATTTTGTTGTTTGAGGTCCTTCTGAGACATTCTGAGCCCCGTGAATGGAAATCATGAGTCCAGTCATGGTTCATAGATTATGACTGCCCCTTTTGCAATACAGTCCTGTGAATAACAGTCATGGAATGCTGCTGCTGCTGCGGTATAATGGTCAGCACTCTGGACTTGCAATCCAGAGGTCGCCGGTTTGTTCTCTCGGCGCGAACACTGTGGAAGAGTAGGCCATGAACAGACAATTGTAGTTCTGCACCTTTATCTGTACTAACACTGTAATGGAATGTTGGGCGCGAGTGTGGTAGCGCAGTGGTTATCACACTCCAATAAAAACCTCGTCACTCGAGTTCGATTCCTGGCAATGGCTAACGTCCGTTGTGAGTGATATCTGAATCCTGGGCTCCTGACTCTTTCACACGTATCTCCACTGACTAGCGTGGTGAGGTATGGCCAAACACCCTCATAACCAAAAGGGTGTGGGGAGGGTGTTCGTCCAGCATCGTAAATTAGAGCTGTAAATTATTATCTTTGTAGTTATTTAAAATATTTGAGGAAATATTTGTATTTTAAATGACAAAGACGGAAACATTCTAGTATTTACCCAATAAATATTTAAAAAAACAGAAAATAAATACTAAGACCAAATAATCCTCGCGTCAATATTTGTAGCTTAGAATTTCATCAACAATTGGGCTGAACTTGTTGTTTCATTACTGAAAAAAAATCATGCTTGGGAACCGGATGTTGATTGTTCAATCACGTATTCTCGGTAAAGGCGCAGCCCTGCAATTTCTTCCTCACACCACTGCTGGCAGAACAGCCTCTTACAGACAGAGCTCGAGAGTGCCTCTAAAACCTATTTTGGTCTCTTCTTTCACGCTGACTCTGTGTTTTTGAAGCGTTATCTCTTACTCTGGGATTGGTCCGTAAAGAACTAAAATCGGGCACACACTGACATATTCACACACCACCTGTCACCTTTAGCACAGCGCAATCATCACGCAATCATCGTAAAAATCAGTCGCGATCAATCGACTGCTGGACGAAGGCCTGCCCAGGCAATCGCCATCTGTCACGGATATGCGACGTAACGATTCATCGTGCACTCGCAAAACGAAACGTATTTATTCGCTCCATCTACGTGGCGGACGTCCTCTTTGGGACGTTTTGTCGCCGTGCGTAAATGCCACTAATTATAAGTGATCTGTCATCTTCTGTGCAGCCACCCCCACTTCCACTCGTCACCGCACACCGTGAACATTCACGCCAGGGTCTCTGTTTCTAAGATTCCACGGCAGATTGGCTACCATCCCGGGAGGCGCGTTATCAGCCGCAAATGTAATATGCATTATTAAAAAAAATGTGTCCGTGTGCTGCTTTGTGATAATACCTTTAAATCCCTCCCAATTATAAATATATATTTTAAAAAAATATGAAACGCCCAGGACCACTTCGGTTGTTGGCAAGAAAAGCACGGGGCTGGGATGGTGTTGGGTGAAAGAAGGCTAGAAACGAGACGTTATTAGCATTCGAATATTCATCGGCTGTCAGCACAAAGCCATTTAAATCAGAGCCCCTCGGCAGATTTGTGCAAAAATGTTCAAAAAGGACTCTTTTGGCGTCGCGCGTTGATCTCGGAGGGATTCTAAAAAATGTGTCGTTGATGAGCTAATTAAAAATCTGTTCGCCGCAGTAAATTTTGATCTCCGCCTCCGTTAAGAGTTAATTGCGTATTACATGCAAAGCAACATAATGGGTAAAATTTTGAGAAATTATTGCTTGGAAATTTTTCCTCATCGTGCATCTATGCTTAACTACTACTAAATTATTTCACATTTCTAATCCTTTTAAGGAAAGCTATTATTTAATATGGTTATTGATTTTTAGTAGGTCATTAGAGTAGATTGTCCGGAAATATGTGGTTTATTAATTACATAGAAACAGGCCAGGGTCTGGGGGTTATGCTTTCTCTCCAAAGCCCTGGTGTGAAGTGTAGCGGCTGTTGCGTCTATGTGTGTGTGAGCCTGCTCATCCCTGCGATTGCGTTCTCATGTTACTGCTGATAGAGGAAGCTATATAGCAAGAGGGAGCTATATAAAGGCCCTCTAGAAGGTATTTGGTCTACTCTTCCAGACTTCTCGGAAGAGGTGGGAACACCTACACTTTACCCCACCACACGCCGAGGAGTCTGGAACATATCTTTTCCGATGTGAAGAAGAAATCTAAATTGACAAACTTATTTTAGTTGGTTGTCCTTCCTCTGCACCTCCGATTACCACGATTGACTACGTACGGTGCGAAAGAAGTTCAACATATATACACACTTACAACGCTGGGTGGACAGCGGCAGTGGGACAAGGGCGGAGTTTAAGAAACTTGATTCCATTATTTTAACTGCCGCACCACCGCGAGAGGGAATCGAACCGGCGAACTTTGGATTGAGAGTCCAGCGAGATAACCATAACACCACGGCGGCATGATTGTAATACTAACAAAAAGATGCCATCTCTCCATGCGAGGGATGCTCAAATACCTTCTCGGTCTTGCCTTGTTGTTGAAAATTGAGTTTAGGTAAACAAAGGAAAAAGTGAATTAATATTCAAAGTGCGGAATATGGTATTTGTAATGCTGTGATGTGTGCGAAGCTCAGGCTAACATTACTGGATTTAAAAATGCTTCCACGAGATACAAACCCCAGGGGATGAATTTACCAGGTCGGTTTGTATTTTTTGCATTTCACAGTTAAAGTAATTACATCAGAAACATATACATTATTCAAATACATTTATGTGTTATCACACTCAGTGCACATGCACCTTCTGTTAAGCACATATATAGGTGTCGTATGTGGTTGAGAGCAGTGGTTATAGTGCGCTGCACAATGAACCTGACTACCTGAGTTTGATTCCTGGCTGCAGCTATAATCAGTGGCGAGTGATATCTGAACCTCTACTGGGCATCCCTTTTCACCAACATTGCATTGACCAGTGAAGTATGGTCAAACAATTCCGATGCTTGACATGATGCAGGGAAGCCTCTAGCCAGCAGTGGATCGATAAAGGATTGCAAATCATAATTATGCATTACGTGAAGGCTTTGTCTCAACATTTTGAAAATGAGAAAGCAGCGCATGACCTGGATAATTTTATAAACTTTTAAACAATCTGCCAGTGCAGGGTGCTGCCACAATGGGGTGATGGCCAGTACACTGGACTTCTAATCCAAGGGCGCCGGTTTGATTCCAACTTCCGGCTCGGCAGTCTGAGACGAGAGTGTGTGGTGCCACCGCAGCGGAGCAGCTCGGCCGGTGCTACCTTCTCCTCGCACCCCCCCCCCCCCACGAACGCACGCACGCCCCACTAAACACTCACATGCACCCCCGTAGGGTCTCGAGGAGGGATCACCTGGTACGATGGGTTTTCACCCGAGGACCCCACTCGCAGGGACATTACACGGTTTCCCCGGACCAGGAAATTGGCTGAGCCCCCCAGACCGGATTACATGGTGCCCCCCCCAAAAAGGGGGGGGGGGGTGGGACCTTCAGCCAGCCAGTACCCAGCGGCAGAGTAAACAGTGGGGTGGGAGGGAAAAGCCCCTAGGCAGATAAGAGTTGACTTAAGTTGGAGGGAGCGAGGGGATTATCGATGAGTCGACGGCGAGGAACGCAGACAGAGACAATGGGAAGGGGGGGATGACGCGACACCCCCCCCCCCCATGGCCAGAGCGCTCAAAACGTCCAAAAAAGAGGATTCGATTGGATGCGCAGGATGACATCATATGACCCGGGGATTAACGGGCTTTGGGAACATAAGGGAGGGAGGAGGGCAAATTGGATCAGAGTTCTTCTGGCGCGGTGGAAGAGCCCAGCCGTCCTCAGCGTCCGTGTGACGCCTGCAGGGTGGAGCTGGAAACGATCGGCCAGAAAAAGTCCCCAAGGCGAGGATCTTCCCCAGCCCCCATCGGGCAGCTGAAGAGGTGAGTAGGTACGGGAAGGGGGGCCAATTCAGTCCAGCTCACAGTCACCTCGAGCTTGGGGGGACAGACGCACTCTGCGACGGCCAGGTGATAAGAGGTTAGGCGCGGTCCGAAGGGTGCTGGCTGGAGGCGGCCATAAACAGGGGTTCAACTATTCGCTCCGGGACTAAACCCTTAGCGCAGACTGATGTTTGACGCGTGGTGCATGTGTGTGTGTGAAGAGCGGTGGGACAGTGATCGGCGCACGACGGTGTGTGGGTGACTTTAATCAGTATATGCATAACGCGCGCACATACAAATAAATAATTAAATAGAGGGACGCTTGACCGCGCCGCGAGCGTAGCGCGCGGAGATTAATTAATTGATTCCGAGCGCCGTTGGCTTGTTGACACAACGGCTTAGCAGATATAATTAATTAACTCTAGCACAGCCGCGAGCGGCGAGCCAAACAATATTACGTAATTCGCGAGGTTAGGACGCGTTAGGAGGGGGTGGAGAGGGTGGGGGGGAGGGCATCCGCCCCCACCTAATGGGGAGTGAAGGGGGGGGGCATCAGCCCCCACCAAGTAGACGTGGTGCCCCTCCCGCTCGTGGTGAGGGAGGAGGAGATCAGCCCCCACCTAATGGGGAGTGGGGAGGGGAGCATTAGCCCCCACAAGTGCACGTCCCTCCAATCTACCCCCTACCCACCACTGCGTCTGTCCACCCGGCACTATAACATGGGTCCACCGCCACGGTGGGTCGGTCGGCAGGTCGCGTGCGGCGGGGTAAAGTATGGGTACGCCCCCCTCTCCTAACACGTCTGGTCCACGTGGACGAGTAGACGAGATGCCTTCTGGAGTTCGCTCCGGTGGGGGGCTCTTCTGCCAGCAGCAGCGTGAGTGTGCAATTGCAGGGCCACACTTTTAGGTTTTGAGAGTTCGCCGAGCATCAGTGCCATGGTTACATTATGCATTTACTCTAAGTATGCGGTATAGGCCCTTCGTATGTTATTCCCTCGTTATTTACGAACTTGCTATCCGCGATTTTGGCAACTCGCATCTGGAACTCTCCACGACTGCGACGAGAGAGAGAGGATGAAATAAAGCGATGAGAGATCATGTGATGTGACGAGACAAAGTAGTGAGATAATGTGATTATATATGAAGTGATGAGACAAAATCTGAGATAAAGTGATGAGAGATAATGTGATGCGAGAGAAAGCACCCTTATATATTTATTTAACGTAATTAATTCAAAAGATAAGTTTTCGTCGGCAAATATCATTATCCGCGACATTTTCTATTCACGAGCATCTCGGCAATATGTCCCTCGTGGATCACGAGAGAATGCTGTAATTCTATTTACCCTGTGGTTCGTTTCGTCTCGTGCGGTGCTACGACTGAATCAGAGCACTGACCCAGCACCACAGCAATCCCACAGCAATCCTGCAGGGTTTCAGTTTGGGTTCCAGCAACCCGCGTTTGCTCGAGAGTTTCTCAAGTGTAGTAAACTCAGTCTGGCAAACCGAAACAAATACATCGGATTAAAGGAGCCGTTCCACTGAATTCCGCGCACGCTGAGAATCAATCGCTGATTTGTCTCCGTATGTAACAACACCCTTTGTAGGGCGCGCCTTGACAGGGGCACCGTCTCGTGTGGCTGACACGCAGTTGGAGTCAATTCAGAAGTGGTTCTGTGGTGTACTCTTCCGCGGGCCGTTCTTTGACACAAGGTTGTGCACTACTTACTAAGGGAGTTTTTAATGGACATTCGTCCATCTCGTGGCGCGACACCGGTAGCACTTTTGGAAGTACAGTACAGTTGGGGAAAGAAATATATAATGTCAGGATGAAAGTTGGTTTACGTGATATTACCACCCGATCATAACCAGTTTCTCACTATCCCGAATGTTTTTCATAATTCGTATTAAAAGTGTATAGAACGTAATGTGCCAACATTTTATCACACTCTAAAAATATAACCTAGAATATAACCTTCATTCTACTATACTTCAAACACGTTTAATTGCGTGAGTGAAATCCTCTCCCCAGAATCAGAATCTCTATTTATACTGGATGAATCTGATGAGCTATAAAGCTCTTTTCCGCAGATGTCCAGTATGGGCACGGGGTCAGTGCCCATGTTGGCTCCCAAGGAACGGAATTTTGTACAATGGGTTTCCTGCGATTGTGTTGGAGTCGGGCACGAACAGGTCGACCTGTCACGTGACAAGGTGTGACAAACGTAGACCTGAGAAAGAGGTTGCACATAGAAGAAGTCCTGATGATGCAGGCAGTGATTAGAAGGAATCTGGCATTATTTGGACACAAACATGGGATGGAAAAGAACAGGCAAATTAAAAGTGTGTTGTTCGGAAAAATGTCAGTTTCTGAAGAAGCTCCCAGGACTTGGGGTGAAACGTCGGACGTGATAGTGCCAAACAACATGTTGGTAAAAACGACCGGTTCTGAGTTTACCTCTTCAGCATAGCGGAGCCACTTTTGACCGGTGCGATGAATGCCACGGTGCTTTGAGGCGTTCATTTTTGCACGCTGATTCAAAGCCGAGAGGGAAGCAATTCTTACCCACTTGGAAAGCTACCAACGGCGCTGTGCTCATCGAATTTCTCAGAATCTGCGGGCAGTTTCAGTGCAGAGAGGAGCGAGGTGGAACGAGCCTGCCGATATTTGCACACGTGTCCTTCGCTCTCCGAGACCGACATTCCATGCCGATTTGTGGCCATGTCGCTCGCGCTCGCTGAGACGCACAACGCTTTTCACATGTGGGTTGGAAGCGGCGGTTTGCGTCTTCAGCCCCTGCTTCTGTTGGTTCGTTTTTTTCTGCCGTGACGGTGCGGAGCGTTGCTGTGAAGCGACCTGAGTTCGATGCGCTGCCACGGCTATCGTCGGTGTTGAGTGATATCTGAACCGGCCACGTTCTCCCGCCCCCCTCCCACCACCCCCTTTATCATCAGCGTGGTTAGGGGTGCCGCGGTGGCGAGACGTCATATCCTTCACGTGGTATGCAGGAGGTCGTGGGTTCGATCCCAACCCTGACGCCTGCTGTATATTTGGAGTTTACATGGTCTCTCTCCCCGTGGTCGCGTGGATTTTTCTCCGCGTCCTCCGGTTTTTCTCTCTACACTTAGAAGCAACACGCCTTTCGAGTATTTGGCTGCTATAAATGTCCCCATGATAAGCCACCTAGTTGGGCTATCATTTGTGGCCAGGTCGCTTCGACAAAAGAGTTATGTAGCTCAGTGGGCCTTACCTGGTAAATTAAAAAAATATGTACTTTTAAATGTTGTGGTGAAGTATGGCCAGCAGTGGCCTGGGAAAAGGGCCGCAAATTATTATTATTGTGATTGCTACAAGCCATGTACACCTTGTCACACCACAATTAGTCGATCGGCAGTTTGCGTGCGGTGGGGTAAAACTTGTGTACTCCCGCCTCTCCCAATGCTTATGGCCAGCGTAGAAGTTGTAGGCCTTTTACCCTTTAGAGGGGCTTTCTAGAGCTCCCTCCAGGGAAGGCTCCCTATGCCAGCAGGGACGCGAGCGAGCAAATGCAGGGCTGCACCTTTATCTTTACCTTTTCCACGAAAACAGCTCGCGATTGAGCGGATGACATCAAGGTGGAAGTGTAGGCCCAGTGCCCTCTACAGGAGCTTTCCGAAGCTCCTTCTCGGGGAAGACTGTTCATCAGCAGTGCAGTGAGAAAGTCAAAGCAGGGCTGAACCTTTACCCTTGCTCGTTATTGTGTGTGCGTGTGTTTACTGCTGCCGGACATCTCAGTCTGTCAACCCATGGTACCTGGGTCTGTTCCGAGATTTCCGACCAGCGAGCGTTTGACACTTCACTGCACGTAGCCTGGCACAAGCGCCGTGGTGACGTCACCGCCACTTAGTGACGAATGGCGGTTGTTGTTATTGCTGCTGATTGGTTTGGTTGTAGCTGCTGTGTGGCATTTGTCGCTTGGTGTTGTTTTATAGCTGCAAAACAAACCCAGCCGCAGAACACACGATGACCGATGAGACATGCTTTAACAAAAATAATATACGTTTCACCGTATAATAAAAATAATGCCTTTCTATTTTACCGATTAAAATAAAAATGTGCTTCGGATCATAAAAATAATTACCGGCCAGCGTCTCTCTCTCTCTCTCTTTTATCGCCACAAAGCCACATTCGAATCAAATCACACGAATTTTTCACGGTCTGTGAACACATAATCTGGGACTCTCCAGGTTCCCAGCATCAAACAAGCTCTCGTATCGTCAAGAGGAAACTTTTTTTATTCTACATTTCGCCGCCGCAAAGTTATGCCCTTTTTTATCACCCGGTTTGCAGCAGTGAAGCGAGCCGTTATATAAATCTTTTCTACGGGATTCACGCTTGCTGATTATACAGGCCATAGCAGTGCGGTAATGGCACTTTTACAGGATTCTAAAGCAGTCAATTTCAATGCGTTAAGGGAGGCCGGGGATATCGCTGTGGACTGCGCGAAAGAAAAATGAGAGAGCTCCCAGATGTGCGTGGTCTGTCTAGACACGGCAGAAAGTATTAAAATATAGTTGGAAGTGTCCTCGGCTATTTGGCCCGGTATCATTCACCGCTGAAATGAACGCAAGAACATGGGAATATAATATTACGGTGTCACTCTTAATGTGGTTTCTGATTTCTCAACATGAGAGGTTGACCAAGACAAATATATATACTGTACTGCAGTGCGTGTCTCTCTGGTGTACAACGAATATCGGAGGAAGCTGTCACAGTCTAATGGTGAGCGCACTGGACTTGCAGTCCCACAGGCTGCAGGTTCAATTGCATCTTCCCGCGCGGGAAGTTGAAACAACGCTGCAAATATCTCATAAACCCTCCCAACCACCTCTGTCCACACAGCGGTATAATGTGGCACACCGCAGTTCGTGGGTCGGCAGGTTGTGTGATGTGGGGTTCAGTGTGGGTACCCCTGTCGGCCAAATACCCTCTCTATTATAGCTCATTCTGCCAGCATCCGTGTGAGCAAGATATTGCTGGGCTGTGCCTTAACATTTCCTTTTCTATATTTTACCTGCAATATATAAGGATTCTCGTGTGTATTTTGTTATAGGGGAAAGGCAAACTAATGTAAGATGTAATGCTGCCCACGAGACAGAACGTTCAGATGATGTCTTGAAGGCCTGTGCATGGACACTGCCTTTCAGAAGCACGCGCCACCTGTTTCTCCATGGCCATGTTCCAGCGTGTCCTGGGTGTACGCTTTTGTGGGGGGAAATGCGTTCTATAAACTATTTATAAAGGGTAAACAATTTTTCATTTTACCAGGTAAGGCTCACTGAGCTATGTAGCTCCTTTTTCAGAAGCGACCTGGTGACAAATGATAGCTCAACGAAGTGGCTTGTCACTTGGAAATGTAGAGCATCCAAGTACTCAAAACGCGTGTTGATTCTCAATGTGGAGGGGAAAAGCGGAAGACCCGGAGAAAAGTCCACGCGAACACGGGAAGAACGCGCAAACTCAGGCTCGAGCTAGAACTAGCGATGAAACATAGTATAAGTTTTGATTTAAAGCTTTCGTGACTGCAGTAATTCATATTCTTAGTTTTTTCGGTAAAGTCACGTTGAAGAGAAACAACAAAATAACAAAATATATATATGTTATTTTGTTGTTTCTCTTCAACGTGACTTTACCGAAAAAACTAAGAATATAGTATAAGTTGCGAGCTTCATTTGTCTTTCGATCATTTACTTTCTTAAAAAAAATCTGCATGCCTCGCGCCCCTAGAAAGGGCACCACTACCTCGTAAAATAAATAAAAAAAGTTTCTAATTTAGACGATGTTGAATATTTCTTTATTGCTACGCAATATCTCTGAGGTCGCGCAGAATGGCACAGACTTTCGGCAAACTAACAACTCTGCTATATCCGGCCGCAGTAAGCCGGGCAAATTGTACCGTGTATGTTTGAGTAAAACTGAACGCGACAAGATCCCTGCGGCCACGGTTTTGCCGGCGACCCGTGTGGATATCGCGACGGACTGATGCATGCCGAACGACTGGCAACATTTTGGTCACAGCCCAATGAGCGCATCTGGCAGCCGTTACGGCACTGTTGGCGAAAACCTTTGTGGCGGAATATGCAGACACGGACGAACGCCCACCGGTGGTGTCTGCACACTTTTATTATGCCCCGTCACCAAGGCAGCTTATTGCCAGAGAGCTCTCGGTGCGATATATTCAGCCGTGCCCTTTACCACCACCATGCCATTGCCGCTTTGCTTCGTCTATCTCGGTGTTTTTTCCCTTTCCCCGGTATTTTGTCACACGCGGCTGAGTTTGTGACGACGCACATCTTGCCGCGTCTCTGCCAAAAATGCAGATATCCAACTGGAACTCATGCCGTACTTTCAACTGCTCCATCGTTCGTTTGTTTTCGTGGAAGAGGTGACGTTAAAGGGACAGCGCAGCGCTGCAATTGCTCGCTCCCGGCACTGCCGGAGAAAGGAGCCTCCACTGGGGAGGGATCTCTGGAGAGCCCCTCTCTAGAGGGTGAGTTGGCCTACTCTTTCACGCTGGGCAGTTGTCTTGGAAGAGGTGGGAGTACCCACACTTTACCCCACCGCAAGGAACCTCCCGATCGATATAGCTGCGGTATGTATCCATTTAATTTTGCTGGGTGGACAGATGCTGGAGGATTGTTTAATGCACATTGTTTCAACCTGCCACTCTTAGGCATTGAACCGGCGGCCTCTGGGTTGCAAGCCCAGCGAGTGCCGCCATTCCGCCACTGCAGCAGCACCGCCCATTGCTTCACTGTCGCGGTGCCACGCCGTTGGCAAGCGTCTGGATTCTGCCACGAGGTTGTTTTTGTGGCTGTGCCCTGTCAGGGCATGTGGACACAGGAAAGAGAAATGTGCAGTGAGACTGCTTTGACTGCCAAGGGGCAAAGCTAGAAGAATAGCTGCGCTTGGAGCGCTTCCCAAGTTTCCTTAACACGAGCTATTTTTCAGGGTAACATACTGCGAATGTGTTGTTCTTTCCAGAAACCCACCCCACCCCCAATAGCCTCCCTGCCAACCAAAAATGCGACCATATGAGCCCCGTGCACAAAGGGGATGGTCGGAAATATTTGAAATGCGGCCCACATGCATCGGGGCTTAGCCTTGGTGCAGTGAGTTAAGCTACGAACCCAGCAGCGAGAAGCTATGAACCCGGCAAACTGAGTTGGATTCCTGGCCACGGCTAACGTCAGTGGAGAGTGATATTTTACTGGTATTGGCCTCCAACCCTTCACCAACCCACATTGACCAGCATGTGAAGTATCGTCAATGCTCGTGACCAATGCAGCCATTTTGTGATCCTCATCTAGCAGTGGATTGACAAAAAACTAAACTGATTTGAGCATTAAACAAATGTAGTGCGCCAATGTTCAGCTTTATTCATAAGCCCTTTTCTAGGCTTATGTTCTCTAACCCCTCCAAAACACACGTGGACTTCAGTAAATAAAAAAAATGTTCTATATATTGTATATGTGTAGTATATGAAGTGGTCAACGGTCCCTATTCCTACTCCGCAATGTTTCGGCAGAGAGGAAATGGGAGTGAGTGCGAGTGAGTGTCTGGTGAGTGTGAGAGTGCGAGGGTGCGTTTGAGTGAGCATGTGTGAGGGTGAGAATGTGTACGAGTGCACTAAGCTGTGAACTCGGCGACCCCCAGACCGATTCCCGCTCACGGCCAACGCCAGTGACGATTATCTGAACCGGTCGCGGGCCTCCCCTAGGTTGAATCACCCTCAAATGAGTACCTGGTGCGATGTGTAAATATCGTCACTGAGGAGACAAAGGCGACCGGGCGTGCTGCTGGCCACTGACCACCTCGTGTGCCGTACCGGCCTTCATGAGTGCCCGCTAACAGCGCTTACCCCAACAGGCTGTCTAGGCTACGCGGGGGACCCTTCTCTTTGTCAGTGAGCATGGGCTGCAAGACGAATATCTTCCGTGCCGGCACTGCTCCATTGACGGGGGCCGACCTCTGAGTAAGTGGCAGTGCAGGGCGCCAGCGGTCTCTGTTGAAGGCCTCTCACGCAAGGGAGAGCCGCGATGGCGGCTATCGAACTGGGATGCCAGTGGAGTCGCTCATCGCTGAAATATCGTCCGGAGTCGGGGAATTACTCATTCGACAAGTAATACGCTGTCAAAGTGGCCACGGATTTATCGATTTGCCAAACCAATCTTGCTTAAATAGACACGCTCTCTCTCTACTTCCGCGATGCAGGCTGGATATCAGCGGAGAGATTACAGTTTTATTGCTGCACAATGCAATTCAAATGTCCCCTTGAATACGGCCGCTCTTTAAAACGTGCCTCCAAAATGGGCGACTGGATTCATTGTCAACAGCCGTCCGCAAAGAGACGCGTTTCTCTTTTCAATGTTAGAATTTTTTTTTCTCTCTCTCACATTTTGTCCCACTGCCCTGTATTTAACAATAATAATTATACGGTAAAGTCACGTTGAAGGGAAACAATAAAATATATATAAAACAATAATTATATATATTTATTATTTTATTGTTTCCCTTCAACGTGACTTTACCGAAAGAACCAAGATATGAATCACTGCAGTCACGAAAGCTTTAAATCAAAATTTAATTATACGGTAGTTTTATAATGCTCCATTATAGAACATATACCACTAGCGCTGAACACCTCCGATTAGAACGGTTGGCCTTCAAAATATATGTACGTATGTTGGACTTCTTTCGCACCGTATGTAGCCAACCGCATAACCTTCGGCTGAGTCGCGGGCGTCGATCGGGAGTGCGTTCGTAGAGCCGTTTCCTAAAGCCTGGCTGGACTTTTCTTGCACGAGTAAATGGGACCGATTTTATAACAACAATGAGGCGGTCACGAATGGCTTTGCTGCTCGTGAATCTGAGCCTCAGGAATTAATGTCGAGCCAGTGGCAGATCCACTGGCTCGACATTAAGCCAGTGTATTTTATTGACATTTATCAGAAATGTTGTTATATATAGAGTTGTTATAATGTCCTGTTTTTAAAGTTTGAAGTTTTGGGACTGTTGCCCCTTTACCCCCTCCCCCCCCTCAGGTATGATTCCAGATGAGTCTCTGCTCTCAGCACTCAATATCGAAGTGGCCTCGCACGTCTCTCATCAGCCGTAGGCAGGGTTGTCACCTGTCCAGGTTTCCCCAGGATCGTCCTCTTGTTGAGGCAGCTGAGAAATCTGTGAGTCTTCCTGGGGCCGGTGTTTGTCAGTTGTGTAATAATAATAATAATCATCATTATCACACCCCACTCAAGGAAATGCGTTTACGTGCAGTTCCCTCCTCTTCCGATATTGTGAGATACGGTACTCTACTGCCAATGTCCTGAGTGTTTTTGTACTTTAGAGGCGGCAATCCTGGGCGTTGTTAATGTTAGTTTTCGGGCTAGGGTCTGGCTGGCTGGTGTGGTTAGTGTTAGTGGTAGGGCTAGGATCTGGCTGGTGTGGTTAGTGTTAGTGGTAGGGCTAGTGTCTGGCTGGCTGGTGTGGTTAGTGTTAGTGATAGGGCTAGTGTCTGGCTGGTGTGGTTAGTGTTAGTGGTAGGGCTAGTGTCTGGCTGGCTGGTGTGGTTAGTGTTAGTGGTAGGGCTAGGATCTGGCTGGTGTGGTTAGTGTTAGTGGTAGGGCTAGTGTCTGGCTGGCTGGTGTGGTTAGTGTTAGTGGTAGGGCTGGTGTCTGGCTGGCTGGTGTGGTTAGTGTTAGTGGTAGGGCTAGGATCTGGCTGGTGTGGTTAGTGTTAGTGGTAGGGCTAGTGTCTGGCCGGTGTGGTTAGCATTAGTGGTAGGGCTCGTGTCTGGCTGGTGTGGTTAGTGTTAGTGGTAGGGCTAGGATCTGGCTGGTGTGGTTAGTGTTAGTGGTATGGCTCGTGTCTGGCTGGCTGGTGTGGTTAGTGTTAGTGGTATGGCTCGTGTCTGGCTGGCTGGTGTGGTTAGTGTTAGTGGTAGGGCTCGTGTCTGGCTGGCTGGTGTGGTTAGTGTTAGTGGTAGGGCTAGGGTCTGGCTGGTGTGGTTAGTGTTAGTGGTAGGGCTAGGGTCTGGCTGGTGTGGTTACTGTTAGTGGTAGGGCTAGGATCTGGCTGGTGTGGTTAGTGTTAGTGGTAGGGCTCGTGTCTGGCTGGATGGTGTGGTTAATGTTAGTGGTAGGGCTAGTGTCTGGCTGGTGTAGTTAGTGTTAGTGGTAGGGCTAGGGTCTGGCTGGATAGTGTGGTTAATGTTAGTGGTAGGGCTGGTGTATGGCTGCTGGATGGTGTGGTTGGGGTTTGGGTTATGGTCATTGTGAGATATTCTTCTTCCCATGATAAGTCCGGTTGTGTGAACCTTGGCAGAGGCAACCCGAGTCGCAGGCACGAGCCGAGGCACAGCTTGGCTCCCGAGGCGTGATGGACAGGAGTAATTTCGCCACTCTATCCACCGCGGTCTGTAAAGCAACACCGGCCAAGACCGAGATAATGCCCTTGCCAAGGCCTAAGGGGAACCGTGGATGAATGCTGATGGATTTAATGCTTCCCCCTGTGGGCTTATTTTCATTCGTGCTGCACTTGCCTCCAGCAAAGCCGAGGCGCGCTCTGAAGAACGCCGCTGTGCCCCTAAGGCTGCCTAGCCATTGAGATTTCTGACGTGAAGACGACGAAGGGAATTCTTTATCTCGGGGAACAAAAACACGAATCGGGTGACTTTTTGCGAGCGTAAGAATTGACGTCCGATTATTCTTGCTGTGGTGTGCGGGTGGTTAACACGCCGCCCTTTCGATTCCGGCATCCTGAGTTAGATTCCTGACCTTGGTTAACTTTAGTCGAGAGAACCGTTCGAGGTTGACACCAAACTGGGACTTGAACGTCCGATTGCGAGCTATGGGCTCGAACCACTAAGCCACCCAGCCGGGAATAAATACATTACAAACGATTATAAGGTGCAGCTCTTTGTCAATTCACTGTTGGATGAAGGTCTCCCCACGGTGTGTCGGCCGTAGGGGTTGTTTGATCATACAGGACATCGCCACGCACTCGGAACCTGTTCAGATATCATTGGCATAGGTCCCTGACACCACAATGATAAGTACACTGCACTACAATCTTCCAATGTTCCATGTGCCCACCGCTGCACCACTGTGGCCAGTCAGCTGATGAGTGGGGTTACGGTACAGGACAGAAATACACCTTCATTGCTCAGTAACCAAAAGGTCACGATACAAATCCTGTTTTGTCTTTAAGAGTTACGCGAATGTAAGTGTGTACGTTGAACTTATTTTGCACGGTACGTAGCCAACCGTGCTCATAGGAAGGTGCGGGATATTATGATGTCTAACACGGCGTCAAACATACCACGAAATACGTCGTCATTCGCGTCGTCATTAGCTCAGACAATACAAACTAGACAGACAATACAAACTAGACAGACAATACAAACTAGACAGACAATACAAACTAGAGAGACAATACAACCTAGGCAGACACTACAAACTAGACAGACAATGCAACCTAGACAGACAATACAAACTAGACAGACAATACAAACTAGACAGACAATACAAACTAGACAGACAATACAAACTAGACAGACAATACAAACTAGACAGACAATACAAACGATACAGACAATACAAACTAGACAGACAATACAAACTAGAGAGACAATACAACCTAGGCAGACAATACAAACTAGACAGACAATGCAACCTAGACAGACAATACAAACTAGACAGATAATACAAACTAGACAGACAATACAAACTAGACAGACAATATAAACTAGGCAGACAATACAAACTATACAGACAATACAAACTAGACAGACAATATAAACTAGACAGACAATACAAACTATACAGACAATACAAACTATACAGACAATACAAACTAGACAGACAATACAAACTAGACAGACAATATAAACTAGGCAGACAATACAAACTAGACAGACAATACAAACGATACAGACAATACAAACTAGACAGACAATACAAACTAGACAGACAATACAAACTAGAGAGACAATACAAACTATACAGACAATACAAACTAGACAGACAATACAAACTAGACAGACAATATAAACGAATGAATTGTATGTTCTCCCCTTGTTCTGCATGGACATTGTATGTTTTATCCCTGTTCTGCGTGGACATTGTATGTTTTATCCTTGTTATGCATAGACATTGTATGTTTTATCCATGTTCTGCATGGACATTGTATGTTTTATCCTTGTTCTGCGTGGACATTGTATGTTTTATCCTTGTTATGCATGGACATTGTATGTTTTACCCTTGTTCTGCGTGGACATTGTATGTTTTATCCATGTTCTGCATGGACATTGTATGTTTTATCCTTGTTCTGCGTGGACATTGTATGTTTTATCCTTGTTCTGCATGGACATTGTATGTTTTATCCCTGTTCTGCATGGACATTGTATGTTTTATCCCTGTTCTGCATGGACATTGTATGTTTTATCCTTGTTATGCATGGACATTGTATGTTTTATCCATGTTCTGCGTGGATATTGTATGTTTTATCCATGTTCTGCATGGACATTGCATGTTTTATCCATGTTCTGCATGGACATTGTATGTTATCTCCTTGTTATGCATGGACATTGTATGTTTTATCCTTGTTATGCATGGACATTGTATGTTTTATCCATGTTCTGCATGGACATTGTATGTTATCTCCTTGTTATGCATGGACATTGTATTTTTATCCTTGTTATGCATGGACATTGTATGTTTTATCCTTGTTCTGCGTGGACATTGTATGTTATCTCCTTGTTATGCATGGACATTGTATGTTTTATCCATGTTCTGCATGGACATTGTATGTTATCTCCTTGTTATGCATGGACATTGTATGTTTATCCTTGTTATGCATGGACATTGTATGTTTTATCCATGTTCTGCATGGACATTGTATGTTTTATCCATGTTCTGCATGGACATTGTATGTTTTATCCTTGTTCTGCATGGACATTGTATGTTATCTCCATGTTCTGCGTGGACAGTATATGTTATCTCCTTGTTCTGCATGGACATTGTATGTTATCTCCATGTTCTGCATGGACATTGTATGTTTTATCCTTGTTCTGCATGGACATTGTATGTTTTATCCTTGTTCTGCATGGACAATGTATGTTATCTCCTTGTTCTGCATGGACATTGTATGTTATCTCCTTGTTCTGCATGGACATTGTATGTGTTTTCCTTGTTCTGCATGGACATTGTATGTTATCTCCTTGTTCTGCATGGACATTGTATGTTATCTCCTTGTTCTGCATGGGCATTGTATGTTTTATCCATGTTTTGCATGGACATTGTATGTTATCTCCTTGTTCTGCATGGCCATTGTATGTTATCTCCTTGTTCTGTATGGACATTGTATGTTATCTCCTTGTTCTGCATGGACATTGTATGTTATCTCCTTGTTCTGCATGGACATTGTATGTTTTATCCTTGTTCTGCATGGACATTGTATGCTATCTCCTTGTTCTGCATGGACATTGTATGTTCTCCCCTTATTCTGCCTTGGTTTCCTCTGGGCTCTCCAGTTTACTCCCATCGTTAAACATTCAATGTCACTGGTCTTGACCAAAACATCCCAATGGTGAAAACTTGAGAGCAAATGACTCCGCTTGGATTACAGAAACATCAACATTGCTCACGCCTGTGAAAACTTGGCAGAACCCTCTTGAAAGAGAGGTTCATATGAATAAATATATAAAATATTAACATCTACATAATGTGTATGTGCCTCTGTTATTGTACAGCGTCTGGGGATGCTGTTGTGGTTAGACACTGTAGAAATAAAATTGTTTCACCTGTGCCTGGGACTGCCGGTAAAGCTGAACCACAGGACATGAATGGTGGCAGGAATGGGCAAAATGTATTATGACTGTGATCCAATAACCCCACAGTCCTATATCGAAAATGTTCGGCGTGAAAAATCCCCATTGTTTAACCTGAGAGCGACGTGTGAAGGGAACTCTGTAATAAGCTCAGCAGCCTCCTCTTGGTTTGTTAATATCCTATCATGTGCTGGCTGTCATCTGTTAAATCCCCAAACAAAAGATAGAGCAAACTCTCGAAACTGTGTGTGGCATGCTCCCTGTATGCATTCAGCAAATGTCATTACGAGGGGATTTATGCGGTAAATATCCGAAGAGAAATCTTCATCATCAGCCATCAGTCATCATCTATCCACTGCTGAATGAAGGGATTTTCCCCGTCGGTGCCATCCCTCGGGGTCCTGTAGTGCCACAAGGCCCCGAAATTCTGTCTCGGTGGAAAGATACATCTCTGACATTCTGGGGTTTGTTTGTGGGGATGGAGGCAATTCAATGTCTCATGTTACCGCTTCGGCTGCTCTGTGTCCATTTACTGGACCCCTCTTTGGAAAAGATGATGAATTATCATCATCGTCATCATCCTGCACCTTCCTGCTGGCTGCCGATCTAAACAAATGCTGCCCTTTCTCATTCTT